AAACACGCGTTTGATAACCATACTAACTCCTTGTATTGGAAACTTCGCCGAGCATTTCTTCCACGAGTTATATAACTTTGCAAGTAGTCCATATAGATTGGTTGACTATGATCTTAATGTATGTTACGCTCATGGTAGATATTTCTCTCAATATTCCATGCTGTATTCCGAGTACTCTGAATTAAATTATGAAGATATAGTTGAGCAACCAATATCTTTTACATCACCAGATCATAGGGATGAACCGAATGTAGTGAATACGGATGGCGAAGATAATGAAAATTCTCCTTTTATTGTTATGTCGCCGTCACATACACTTGTTCCGTCAGAAGTTATTGAAATTAATTCTGCTTCTGGGGAAGATGATGTTCAAATTATAAACATTGATACTGAACCTTCTGCAGAAACAGAAAGGGATCAGCCGTTCCAGCCCAATCATCAACCAAACTGTCCAAGTATGACACGGCCGAATGAGGGTCGAATAATTACTGTAGAGAACATCATTAAAGATAGTTCGTCAGACGATGAGGCAATCGAAATTAATACCCGTGGTACGCAAACTACGGGTACGAAACCAAAAGTTGTTATGAATAAGAGGAAAAGAAAAACCGAAAAACCCAAGCTTGAGAAAAGAAAAAAGTATGGTGTTGAATTTCGAAGTGAGGTTCGACTTGGCAGCAGAACTCGATCAAGCTCAGAGTCTTCATTTTCAGACAATACTAACGCAAACTAAATTAAATTAATATCCCCAATGTTCGTTCGTAAAAAAAAAGTAGTACCTACATTAATTATCAATAAAATATAAATCTTAGACTTTAATCAACACTTACTTGCATTTAGATGTATTTTGAACGTTTGCTTTACATTCCAGTAAGTTTTCATCAGAACCATCAACACAGTCGTTTATACCATTACATTTCGCAGTTAAATGCACACAAGCGCCATAGCTACAGTGAAACGCATAATTCGGACAACTATGAATTATAAATAAATGTTATGTCCTAAAAATGATTAAAGTAGGCACACCTATAATCACTTTTTAAACAGTTTAAAACACAAATGTCGAGTCTCGTCCGAAGCATCCAAACAGTCAGCGTGTCCGTCGCAAATCAATAACGAATCTATACACCGCCCATTTGCACAATAAAACGGATCTTCTCTGTAATTAAACAATATTAATACGTTTAATAAAATAGATATCTAGGTATCAAAAGAAATATCCATACAATACAAAATTAGCAATAATAAATATGGACACCTACTTACTTTTTCTAAAATATTGTCAAACAAAAAAGTTGTAACTACAAAAAATTGTAATAACTAACATAGCTTAATAATCATATACTCATGTAGGTTACTTTCTTGTTAGGCAATATTTTAGAAAATGGGTCCAAGAGGTGCTCTATATCCTTCTTGTATAATTTGTATTCAGATAAGCTCGAATTTCAACCTAAACGCCACACTTTATATCTTAAGCAATTTTGTTATGCTGCCCGTTTAGCATTAGCTCGAATTTGGATAGGCATTTATATAGTGTTTCTATGCAATTTTATTTTTTTTCATTAATATAAATTAATAAAATATATCTATTTTTTGTTAAAATATACTAAATGTATTAATTATAATATTATAAAATCAAAATACACAATATTATACAGTTACCAACACTGAACATAGCGATTCGATTTGTCGTTTTTCCAATTTTCTAGCTCCCGAAATGCTCGCACCTAAAATAATTGATTTTTTATAATATATAATATAACTTTATTCAGCACCTACATTAACGTTTATAGGTACATTACTATAATTTTAGGCGAACATCTGAAGTCCATGACTGCAATACTATACCTTGGTAATATTTGTATAGGTAGATGGGTGTACAATTTATTTGACATAGTTAAGAAAATATTTGAAAATTAAATTACATCACATAGGTATTAACTATTAAGCATTGACAATTATCGTACCTACTTACCGAAAATTAAACATAAACACGTTAACCAATAATGGCCGTGCGTAACATTCATGGCCATCACCATCACCTTTAATCAAATAAAAATAATCGCAGCGAACTGAACGGACCGAGCGAACATTTAACAATGAATTTGTAATACAAAATAATATATAGGTAACAACAACGACGTTTAATATTATTCACAACATTTTGATAACTAATATTATAACAACAGTGTACTACACATTTACTACTAGTGGACTCTGTAGACGTGTATAAACAGTAAACACGCATAACCATGAAAAAAAATAACAGAAGGGCACGCATAAATAATGTGTTCTTTCTAAAATTTTAAAGACTAATCGGTTTATAGCGAATATATCGCCATTAATTATTGGTTCCTAAGTGCAGATGATAATAAAAAATATAATAGATGTTATTTGCGGTTTTGCAAGTTTTTCTGGTACACATGGATATAATTAACTAATATATATATATTATTATAATCGAATAAAAAAATACAAGATTAGCACTGATGTGCAACTGAACAGTGATAATTTTTACGTTCCATTTACGAGCTAATCATTATTGCATAAAATTATGCATAAGTGTAAAACTGGTTATTAGTTTGTGTGTAGGTAGTTACGTATATTTTACAATTTCTTATACAGGTATTTAAGTTTATTAATGTATAAAATATACCTATTTTATTTTTTGAATAATTATTTATGTAATCAAATATGAAATGTAATGTTTTAAAAGTTACATGGAACACAATATCTTATAACTATCTGCATGGAATCATGAGATAATTCGATCATCTTGGATTCTGAGAGAAACGAGGAATGTATTGAATTTTCTACATGAATGCGTTTTTTTTTTGTTTCACAATTTTTCTACTAAAAAACCTTGCTTTTATCAAAAATCGATGAGAAAACTTTTTAATAGCAATTTGGATGTTGTCGGTGCATTTCAGGAGATATTGGCGTAGCCAGGGGAGAGCGTTTGGACGCTGTACCCCCATTGCTTTTTTTTTTAGCTGTAGGTAAGCTTAAGGTTGTAAACCCTCATAAATAAATTCTTGCTACGGAGGTTATTATTTATCTAAGTAATTTTTAAGTTTTCATAATAATTGGGAAAGCCCGGGAAAAAACTGAAAAAATGTAAGGCATTACAAATAGTGTTTTTTTCAATTTCTTTTAGATTCTAAGTGGAACGAAGAAGCTTATGATTTTAAAAAGATGTTTTTTTTTTTTTTAATCTGTGCGCAACTTTTTTACCAGAAATCTTACTCTGATTTTTAAGTGTAGCACTTTTTCTGATAGGAAATCTCACTGGAAAAGTACTTCAAGGAGGTCATTTTTTGATTTTCCAGGATTTTTCTCAACAAATAGGAAAATAGATACATTTAACAAATATAATTAAAGAAAATATATAATGCCTATTTAATTATGACATAGACATACTCTTAAACATGCAGTTTTCCTACTCAAAATCGAGCACCCGTCGCACATCAATGATTCCGTCCTCTGTAAACTTAATTTAGTAATTTAACAGACCGAAGACTTTCTGCAAATATTAAGTAATTGCAGAAACTCCTCTCCAACGACATTGGTTGCCCGTTATTACTTTATACGTTTAAATTTCTATATTCCTTTTCGTATTACTCGTCAATGAAAATTTCTTAATTTCCTTTCCGTTCTACGCAATTGTCCGCCTTATGTCTATTGGCAATACCGATCGGTCCTGTTTTTGTTTTCAATATTTTTCGTGTTCTTGAGCGACTTAAACTAATACATTACTCTTCTTCTAATCAAATATATATTTTATGCCAAACTTTTGGTTTTCTGTAAATATGTAGAAGTGGTGAGCGCAAGCCTGTTATTATAAATAATTAATTAATATTTACCTATCTAGATGTGGTAAAATATTCTGACAATATTTTAATTATTTTAAAAACGTTCGATTAGTATTTTGAATATTGTTTAGTATTTATTTGTCTTCATGTCGATCAAATGTTTTAGCCAATTGAAATGTTTAAGAATTTAACTGTTCCCACTTTGACATTATAATTACAGTCATTGGTTTCTTGAGGGGAGGAGGTTATCGGCTTTAAACTCAACATCCTCAAAAACTCGTCTATAATTTTCGCTGGCCAATTGTGTTTTATCATTCAAAAATGATAAATGATATGGTTATAGAGACCTCGGCTTCATTCTAACACGCGCATTGTGCCCAAAGTACAACACATTGAAACAGTTGTCGAAAGGCGTTTAAAATGCCAGGTATTATTCAACGCATTTCACGGAATACGTATATTGAGTAAGTATTGACAACGAGCGACGAGCTACAAAACAAAAACGTGGTCGAGTTTTGACGCTCGACGCTCACGAAATATGTTTGACGGGCGCAAACAGTACCACCTATGTATAGTGTCGGTATAGACGGATCTACAAATTAATTTATATATTATTATTAATATAGGTAAATATCGGTAGGTACCGTGCGTTACCATGGTTACGTAAAATCTTTCTGCAGGCAATATTGGTTTTTTGAAATTAATTGTTTATTTTCCCCCCAATACGATGACTAATTTTAGATAAAATAAAATCGTAAGTTTCGACTGACATTCGAATAAACAATGGAACTTTCCGTGAAATTTCCTACGACGATTAATGGCATAAATTCCAACAGTTTTCTTTTCCAACAATTTTTTAACTTAAAATTAGATCACAAGGCGATCTATCGTATGAACGACATGATGAATACGTAAAAAAATGTATTTAAACTACATAATATTAAATGAACAACAACGTCTGCAGTGACGAATAATTCTATCGAAAAATCCAGATTTTTCCCAGTTGGCCCGCGTCAGTACTCAACTATGGGACCCTTACTTCTTGGTCTGAAGACCTTTTTCTCCGATTGTGGATGCTCTCCATATGTGTAAACAGGAGAGGTATCGTTGACAATTAAATGAATAAATAAATATAGATGTCATAATATTACCAACTATTGAAATACCAACGTTCTGGTACAATGGAACAGTTTTGGTTTTTGTGTGTGTTTTAGTACAATCATGGCTGCCAGCTACAGATTAATTTTTTAAATTTTTACATAAGATATTATTGAATCATTTAGATACACACATGAGAATTGAAATATTATACTCCACTACAAAACCCGTAATAGTTATAAGTAGTTCCTCATCAGTTAAAAGCTGATGCTGCAAGGACTGGCCAATGATTGCCAATTTCCTGGAACACGCACATAATTTCTCAACGACTAAAAACACGCTATTTTAATGTACATACGTCATACATATTATGATATAAATAATTTACAAATTTAATAATATTGATCATTATCAATAAATTAGATAATTTATAATCAATTATAAATATGTAAAATTATACAAATTAAAATAATAAAAGTTACATGCAATTGAGCATAGATTGTAAAAATATTAATGTACATAAAAAGAATAATAAAGAATAATGTTTATTAGGACAAATATTTGTTTTAAGTATGTCTAAAATAATAAAAGATACTTATAGAATTTTTATATATACATATATCTTTATTGCACAGTAAAATGAGTTGTCATGTTTTTTTTTCTTCGAAAATCATATTTATCTCATTTAGGTTTGGAAAAAAAAAGCTTGACACAAGTTAATATGATGTCATACACCGTACAACCTTCCGACAGCAAATTTTCGTTCAGCAGAGATAACTCTATTATGAAACTCAGAGATATGAACATTATCTATGAGGTCGTCGTTTTTTTTTTTTCCATTATTTTAATTTTTAAATAACATATGAACGTGTGAAGTATAATAATTGAAAAATGTTTGTAACTCGTTTAAAAATTGGAATAACGGGAAAAAAAACCGATAAGATCACACAGATAATGTTCATATCTTTAAGTTTGATAATAGGTCAATTCACTCTAAATTTAAAAATAACAACACAGAGTTGTCCCTGCTGAACAAAAATGTGCTGTCATGTGTCAATATGACAGTTAAAACTCTTGAAGAGTTACGTCAATTTATATTATTTAGATTTAAAATTAAAATACAATTTTAAAATATTATCTGGTTAAATTAGCATAACTCGTTTCAATTTAAAAATATTTAGTTTATTTTAAAATCATTTTGTCTTAAGTCACTTAAAATATATATTAGGAAATTTAATAAACTATGATAATATTAATTTTAAGCCAAGACATTCAAATCATTATTATACCAACCACTGAATAAATTAAAATTCAAGTAATAACACTATTAAAATTAAAACAATATAGTATAATAAAGTTTATAATGAATTTGTTATTTGATATTGTTAAAACACATTTGTGTTTTTTATTTTAATTGATTGTAACATTTATTATTACTATTATTATTATTTTTATTTTTTTAAGACAATTAATGTCACAAATAATACTTTCACATAGCTATTATCTTGATTAAAATTACTATTTAAAAACAAACTATACAATTATTATAGTTTATATTATTTGTATTATATTGAACAACTTAGGTCAATATATTTTTTTTTTTAAACTCGATCATAAGGAGTTAAATTCTTGTCAAAATGATAAAAATTAATTTCCTAAAAAATGAGTTCAAGTCAAATACACAATTACAATCTTCTTCTCCTTCTCCTTCTCCTTCTCCTTTATCCCAACTATTTGGAGCCCGCTACCCTTGTCCTAAAATTCCTTTATGACCCGATCTCCCACCTCACATACACTAGCTATTTTTATATCATTCTCAATCACATCCAACCACTTCTTTTTCGGTCTTCCTCACTCCCTTTTTCCTATATTAATTTTCATTACAATTTTTACTGTTTCTGATTCTTCTCTTCATTTGACATGCACAAACCATCTCAGTCTATTTTCTCTAATTTTATCTACTATCAAAACTACATTGTATGTACTCATTCCTTATAATATTTTCTCTCAACACTTCACTCACCAAAGAATTCTGTCTATCGCCTAACACTATAAACCATACAACATAGTTGATCTCACCATACATTTTCAGAATTTTCCTTTAAGTATATACATAAAAAAAAAAAATTATTTTTCAATATTTTAAAACCACAACAGAAAATTAAAAGTGTAAACTAGTTTGAAATGAGAATAAAATAGTTTGTGCAAATAACAAATTGATTATATTATATATATTATATTATAATTAAGTCATTATCATCCTATTATTTGCTTATTTTTAATTACTATAATTAGTATAAATTGTACGAATCCATTGAAGATGATAACTAACGTCTGTAAAAAGTGCAATTGAATCATTTGTGTTTGGATCCTTATCACTTGTAACTCCAGTTAAATAATGTAAAGAATCGTGCTCAAATGTTAAACCTGCACCACTGTCTCCTTCTAGAACTCCTTGTCCTAAAATTAATTTTGATACACTGTTATACTCACAAATAAAAATAAGATTATACAATTTAAATACAGTATAAATTATAGTTTGATGTATTTATAGCAGTAATTCTGAAACCTCCAGTATTAAGATTGAAATCAAAAAACATAATCTCTAAATTATAAAAATTCAGAGAAATATGTCATAGATATACATTGTTTGGCATAAACTATTTAAAGTGAAATTGATAAATTTTATTACCGGATTTGGTACCAGCACAAAATTTATCACTAGTCACAAATACTTCAAATCCATTTCTGTACATATTCCGACATGCGGTATGGTTAATATATGGTAAAGATGCTTCTAACAAAGTAGAACTTTGAACCATATGTTCCGTTTTTCCCCAACCAACAATCTATAAATTATAATAATATAATATAAATAGCTAAAAGAATAATGATTATAATTTTCTATATTAATTCAAACAAAGTGATATGTTCAGTACATTAATTGATTCTGATTAGTGATGGGCACTATCTAATAGTCACTATTGAACTATTCAAACAATAACCTATTCTATAGTTTCTATATAACGAATGGCTTTTATTTGAATAGTTTCAAATAGTTAATATATTCAAATAATTTTTACTCGATTGGTAATTCGTATAGTTTTTATTCAAAAAGTATCATTATGTATAATATGTGTGGAGACATGGGACACTGCAGGTAGTATTCGTAGAATTATTCAGTTCATCAATACTATCGATTGTATAAAGACTATAAACTATTCAAAAGTGCTCATCGCTAATTCTGATAAGAAAAGACATTTAGGAAAAAGAAAATGAACTAACATATTATATTATATAATATGTATAATGTACACATAATAATTAAATAATCAGTAAGTACTAAAAAGTTACTTTTCCCAGAGAACCATCATTGGGAATACTAAATTTGTCTGTCCAATCCATGCAAACAGGTGAAACCATATAACTAATCTTGACTTTAGTTTGCAACACAACTACAGCTATATCGTAAGCATAAAACCCAGTATGTCCAAAAAAGTTATTGTTTATATAAATTAACTCCACCTATAATAAAAATAAAAATTGGAAAATTGAGATTCTATTTTTTAAACTGATAACCAACTTACTTCAATAATCTGAGTAAATTCATTATCCATTTCTAAAATATTGCTCACATATTTTCCAACAGCAATTTTGTATTTACCATTATTCATTATGATTTTATTAGTCGAGTCAGATTCCCAAAAACAATGAGCAGCTAAAAAAAAAAATTCTCAATATTTTTATGAATAAAATGTATAATTTTCTTACCCGAAATAATTAAATTTGAAGTAATTAATGATCCTCCACAGTGCATTTTATAATTATTATTTTTATCTCTTCGATATATTCCCACATTCCAAGGGGCAGTTCCATAGTATGCCGTTACCCCATGAAAAATTAATGGTTTGCTAGGAGGAACTATTTTACCACATTCTAGGATATTTTTATAAAACATAAATAAAAAAAAGATATAAGTTACCTAATTGAAACAAACATTTTGATAGAAAAAATAATTTGGTAATAATAGATTTTTAAATTTTTTAAATTTTGAATATAACTTTTAAATATTTTGATTAGAAATTATTACGTGGTACACAGGTATATAGTTGACCACTCCATTTTCCATTAGATTGACAATATAATTCAACCGGAGTCTCTATTTGTCCGTTTGGTAAACTATGTGTTGATTTACAAGATGGTCTTAGTTTAGTTCCATTTATTGATGACTTTGAACAATCAACTGGTTCTCCGTTATAAGAACATTGAATATCTAGACTGTCTGACGTCATAGGTGGACATTTTTCTAGAAACACAATCAAATTATAAAAATAATCTACTTATGCACATAAAAATAATGAATCAAACGTTATAAAAAGTGTTACAATACTAACTCAAAGTAATACTTACTCAAACATAATTGATCGCGAACCAATGGTTCCCACTGCCCGGATTCCAAACACACCATAAATCTAGTAGGAACAACTTTATAATAATCTGCTTCACAGTCCTCATAAACTAATGTGTTCTGATCAACTTGAGTATGGTATGGTAAAACATTTTTTTGATTTATATTATTATAATAATATATAGTTCCCTCAGTGTTTGGTACCATACATTTTTGCCTTTAATTAAAAATATTGTTAATATATTACAACAGGTCTTCTAATTGATTTTTTTTTTTCATGCAGTGCAAACAATAACATTATTTTTAGTTTTAGAATAGTTAAAAAAATACTAACATGTTGTTAGACTGTGTTGTTGATTCAATTGAAGATTGTGAAATATTTTTATGGTTTTCCACTGCCGGTATTGGAGTAATTGGTTTACAATGTTCTTGAACTGAACCATTAGAACACTGTTCTTTACCAAAACATTCACTAGATTTATTTACACAAGCGCCGTAGTCACACTTAAATGCATACTTTGAACATCTAAAACATTAAAAGTAATCTTAATGTGTCATTATTTAAAATTTTAATCTGGATTTGCTTACTGAACATTTTTACATAACAACAATGTTTCGTCAGATCCGTCTTGACAATCTCGAATTCCATCACATGTAGATGCCTTATTAATACATTTGCCAGATTTACATTTAAATTTATTTCTGCCTCTACACACAATTATGAAACAAAGATTGAAAATATACAATTATGTTTTTTTTTTTTTTTTTTTTTTTTTTTAAGAAGCTCAATAATATTTTAGAATAATTGTTTTCAAACCATTCTTTTTGTATAAGGTATTCAAATATAAAATTTAAAATTGGTCTAAAGAAGTATTTGAAGGTAACATAAAAAAAAAATATTGGTATAGAATATCAATTAAGCTGTAGAAATACAATATACAAAGTGATTTTTTTTATCATGAACCAGCAATTATCTCGGAGTATTTTATGTGAATTTGATTTCTGTTTTTTTCCAATTATTATGGAAAAATATTCTCCATTCAAATCTGTGTTCAAAATGTGGGGTTCCTATTTGAAAATCAAAATTTTGTACTTATTTAAAGTATAAGGAGTAGGGAAAAAAATAAAAAATGGTTTTAAAATAAAGCTTAAAAGATTCCATAATGATCAGAAAAAGCACAAAACAAATTCACTAAAATCCTCCAAGATAATTGGTGGTTCATTATAAAGAACATCATTCTTTATTAATCTATACACTATGCAAACATATTCCAAACACATTTTCTAAATAGGTAGGTACTTGGTGTACTCTGAAATAGCATAAAAACTCTAAATATTGAAAAAAACTCATTTTTGTGAGAATAACTATTAAATTAGTTACATTAATATAAATATTCAATAATAATAGGCCGTTTAAATTACAATAAATAAATAAATAAATAAGAAGCAAAATGCCAACATAGATAATATAGGTATGTATTAATATTTCAAATTAATTATAAGATTAAATTTTAAAGCCAATAACTTACTGGCATTTAGTTCCAATGGTCTGATTGACTTGAGTGTTTGTTTTACATTCCGGTAAGTTTTCATCAGAGCCATCAACACAGTCTTTAATACCATTGCATTTTGCACTTTCATCAACACATGCACCATATTTACAACGAAAAGCATAACTTGGGCATCTAATATGTCGTATAAATAAATATTAAAATGCCTTTAAAACATAGATAATATTAAAAAATTAAAGTCTAATTTATTTAATAACAAAAATAATTTTTAACCTAAAGGTTTTTAGGGGTACTACTAACAGGTGACTGCCTCTTTCTCGTCCTTTTAATTAAATTGTACACAATATCACATTTACTTTTTATAAAAAAAAAAAAAACAGCTCATAGTGTTTAATCTAACAATTTCATCCACAGAGAACAAATTAAATAAAAATAAATATTTGCCGTTTCACCTATAATTTTGTTTCCGATTATTCCCAATTATTTTGAAATCCCCTTGGAAAATCAAAATATAAGTTCTCTGATGCATCAACAAAATAAAATTTCGTTTCAGAAAAGGTGCTACACTTAATACATCAGAGCAAGATTCCTTTTTAAAAATTTGTATACAGAGAGAAAAAATTAAAAAAACACACATCATAGTAAAACCAATAAATAAAAACCTTATTAAGTTTAGGTAGGTTTTGCAATAAACTAATATAACTTGCTAAAGCGTAGGTCCTATTAAAAACCAAGTATTCAATAATAGTATTTATAGTAACTTTAATACCCTAGCTACCTACCCTATGGGTAAATAGAAAAACAAAATTCAAATTTCTTCCGGATAATAAACACATAAACATTACTTACGTAATAAATCCATTGCACAAATCTTGGGTCTCATCTGAACCATCTGTACAATCTGTACGCCCATCGCATACCAAATAAGATTCAACACACTGCCCATTCGAACAGGCAAACATGTCTCTGCAATTATATGAATACAAATATACCTAATACAACCGAGTACCTATTAGGAATTTACTTTTAATTCGCCTTCGCAAAAGCAAAATATAACTCAAAAACAGCTTCCTCGTTTCAATCAAAAATTTAAAATCGCCAATATTTACATTTATCATTCAATTGCCTGAATAAAACTATGCGCACAATGATTTTTTTTTTTTTTTTTGTGTTTAATGTTTAACTATGTGGGAATTGGCAAATCGTTGTAGCGTCGTTTCGTTCCCGTAGAAGAATCATTTCTTCTTACATAATATTAATAAGATCGTATAAAAAAAAAAAAAAAACTTAATCACTTACCGGCATTTGGTTTGATTATTTTGGACGTTCGCTTTGCACTCGGGCAAACTTTCATCGGACCCGTCGACGCAGTCCTTTTTACCGTTACATTTGGCAGTCTTGTCCACGCATGCGCCATAGTTACAGCGAAACGCATAGCTGGGACATCTGTGAAACAAAAATCAATCGCCTAACGTAAACAACGTCACAAAAGTCATCGGAGTAGGTATTGTCCCGTACGTTTTAAATAGTTCAGAACACAAATGTCGCGTCTCGTCTGAACCGTCTGAACAATCTGCGTGGCCGTCGCATGCTAGCGAATAATCGATGCACGGCCCAATCGAACAGTTGAAACTATCTCTGTAATATCGGGGGAAAAAAAAAAAAACAAAACAATAATTACGTATACGGGGATATCGGACAGTGTGATGACAGTCGCGCAAAACGGCGGACGTGTTGAATGCAAAAACGATTTACGATCGACCGTGGTCACGAATCATCTTCGGTTACCAATAAACTTTTGCGCGTTTCGGGCGGTTTACCGATTTCCGAGAGGCGCGCGGGTGACACGAATGCGTGAAACGTTATAATCATAAACCTAAGCATAATTATCCCGGTACGAATCCCGTGCCGAACCGAAAATTGTTCCTGCTGTTATCGGTTTACAGAACTATTCGCGCTGTTCAAATATAATAATACAGTTACCAACGCGGAGCAATGCGATGCAGTTTGTCGTTTTCCCAGTTTTCCGTCACACAACAAAACGCCTGCTCCTGAAATAATAGAAAAAAAAAAAAAAAAAAAGTTAATTGCGTCGTATTATCGACTCGTTTAGGCGAATTCGTTTCAATAATAACACCCGTATTATTTGTCGCCGCTGTGACAAATAACGAAATCTCGGATTTGCGATGATTTTTTTTTTTCTGAAAATTACAATCATCAACGTTCACACGCGGGGGATCACGATGTTATAAAAAATGATAATGTTTTACAGTGTAAAAAATAATAGGGTGTGAACAAGAAAAAACGAAAAACAAGAGCGCGACAGAGATTAATTCAAGGCGCCCTTGATCTCCTAATCGTCGTTCTCCGATCGGCTCCGGTTTACACACACGGTCGTTCTGCGCGGTTTTGCCGAACATCGAAGTGAATTATTTCTGCGTGCGCCTGGCGTTATTTTCGAACTACTCGCGACAGTGTTCACGCACTCCCGAAAGCAGACGAATACGTTCGATCACGAACAAAACCACCGGAAACCCATACGCGACGCGACGGTAAACTCCGGCGTTCCGGCGCCCCGTCAAAGCGGTAAACAACAACCGCGCGATGAACGCTAAAAATACGTAAACGCTTCATCAAACCCCCGCAACGCCCTTATCCGAAAAAACCGCGTACCCGCCTCGCAACGTCGCCGTCGGTTGTTATCGTATTCACTATACCGTGCGATCCAGGCGCGGACCCGGACGAAAACCGAACACACTCGTCGCAGAATTACGGTGTCGTTCGGACGCCTGCAGCGTAAATTTGCGTACGGAACGGCAATGACGGTGGCGACCGCGACAGTCTGGAATAACGGCGACGAGAAAAGAGACGTGAACAAACCAAACTCCCGTATTAAAATATGATTTGTTTTTTACATACACTCACGGCGAACAAATCATGGCGTTTCGCGTTATTCTCGCCGGGGCGGGCGATTAATTCGCCATTATTATACGTACCGAAGACCAGACACAAAAACGCGGACCAGTCGCGCGCCGGTTTCATGACCGGAACGTGCGGTTACGGGGGTGGCCTGTGCGCGACAGGAGTGACCGCGGGCGAGTGCGTTGTATCAACTGTCGGGCGCCAATATACGCTGTGAACAGTGCATTTGACGTGGAAAAACTAACGAAAAAAAAACCGTCGGAACGTCCAAGCGCGACCAGAATTTTCGAGCGCACGACTTGACGATAACCGGACGGGTCTACCACGGGACGCACGAACGACGCGTCGAACTCCGGCGATAAACCATTACGTACGGCGAGCGCGGCCAAGGACGCGCGGCGCCATCGGTACCTGTCTATTTAGAGACTTTGGATTAAAAACAAAAAAAAAAAACGCTTCCCGACGAAACAACACCGTTCACGCGCGGATCGGTTCGGCGATAGCGCGCGACTGACGGCCGAACCGGTATTACAGCGATGAGCCATCGGGTTTTTTCCGGCGAGCGAACGCGTTAAACGACCGCGACTCGCCCGTCTGGTTACAGGAAAAAACAACACGCGCGTCGCGCCCGAACTCGGTACTCCGGAACGGAACCGATGAGAACTTTGCCTGCGAAATGATTTTCGCCGCGTACGCTGTACGCCGACCGTTGTTATATTTCGTATGCGTGTTACAAAAACGGGGTTACAATGACCGAGTCGACGTTCACGGTGACGCGGCCGGGCTTGTAACGCGCGCGAGAACGGCAATATCGAAAATTTCGTGTGTTTTTTTTTTTCCGTTTTCGCTTTTACCCGATTCGCGCTCGAAAACTCTCGTGATCCCCTATCCGGTCCAATCGGAGCCGTCGCGGGAAACGTGTACGGTTTTCGAAACGGAGTCGTTTCGTTTTCACGCGTAATATTCCGTTATTATTATTATTTATCACCAACGAGACTAATCGCGCGTCGTTAAAAGCGTTTCGCCCGCGGTTTTCACGCGTACGGGTGGGCAGGTGGGTACTCGCGAAAACCGGTCGTTGATTATTGCGCGAGTAGGTGTAATACAACCATCGTTACAAAAAAAGAACAAAAAAATAATAATAATAATAACAGTTAATAACAATTAACATTCCGCGGTAGTTAATAGAAAATACTGGGCGGTCTGCTGTCCCGGTCCAATTTCCGGATAATACGCAGACAAAAATAACGACAGGTCGCGCGGAACGAGTGGAACCGGCGCGATTTCGATCGCGGAGCAGAATCGCCTTTAACGAAACGTATTGACGGAACAATGTTTCCGGGGGAATGCCAAATGGTTTTCGCGTTATTCGAAATGCAAACGGTACGGAAACCATAAATTTTTTTTTTTTTTTTAAATAACCGCGATTTTTTTTAACAGTCCGTAATTCCGGGAACGCCTACATACGCCGGTCCCTCCGAAATTATTTGTTCTCCGCGAATAATCGCAACCGGCACTTTTGCTGTGAAATCGAAACTAAGTCGGTTTTACTTATTGCCGCGTTGTTATTTTCGCATATTGTCCGGTAAGCCGCGACAGTAGACGGCGGGCGTGTAATCGCGTCCTCTCGGGGGAACTCCTCGCGCCGCCAAAAAGCACGTATGCAGGGCCATAAACGATCATTCGAACGTAGACAGTATTATTAGTATTGTTGTGACATTCTATCGGCAATTAAAGAACCGTTCGGTTAAATGCCCGCGGTCGTTCTTCCGCGTCGCTTCTGAATGCGGGGTGTCGCCGACGTCCCGGCGGAGCCGTTCCCGTCGCAAATGCGCTCTGCGCCGTGGAGCGGGCAGGTTTTTTTTTTCCTTTCCCGGCGGGGCCCAGTCTACCCGACCGCCCGTGCATTATTTGTTCTCGTTATTCGCATTCGCGTTAACGAGTAGAGCAATCGAGTTATCGGGTACAAGTCCGTTCGATTTGTATTTGTTTGCCAAGAGTCCCGTACGAATCGCAATTCATTACGGACGAAAACAAATGCCGGATAATGGCTGACAATCGAATTTTATGACTGACGAGATTCAAACACGTTTGAATTTTTATCGTCGGTCAAGACGTTGCGGCGTTCACGGCCGACCGCCGAGTATGCCTGTGAATGTACAGTTTATCAGTCAATCAGTCGCGTCTCTCTTCGCCTTCCGTACATTTTACGTGTTCGTCCGAAAATGGCGAATAAGTCGAATGACGAAGAATTTTGGCGCGAATCTGTAAGTTTGTACCGTAGTTTACCTGCTACGTGGTAGATAGAAAAAAAAACGATTCGTACGAAAATTCATTTCGTCCGTTTCAATGGAAAAATTTAATATCGAATAACAACTACACGGTACACCGCACTTTAAACGGTAACAATTGTGTCGGCTAAAATAAAATACAACAGCCGAACGACCGAGAATTGTCCGTGTACGGTAACGATCAACCGTCAATCGCGTCGGTTGTCATTCGCGACCGATCGTGTACGAGGGGAGGAGTGTGACTTGACAACTATTAACACAGGAATGATCCGCCGTCGTAATCGTGACAACTCGTTCCGAAACGTAAATATTGTTTTCCTGGGCCCGATCAGCTGACGAGACCGCGCACGCGTGATAAACATATTGTCATTATCATTGTTATTGTTATTATTGTGTTCGGTAGACAAACAGCTGACCCGAGTAATCCGACTGCGCTCGCTGGAAAACACAAAGACGACGATTGAAATTAAAACGAAAAAAAAAATAAATACAATCACGCAGTTGTTTCATTTGTTTCGCATTTGTTCCGAAATTAATTTTCAATACTGATACGATAAATCGCCCGTGTTCGGCCCGTATTTGCTCCGCGTCGCCCGCCCGACCGCGCATTATTCCGAACCGATATCGTCGTTGACGGCAATTGCGTCTTACGAAAATGTCCAATAGCGGTTTGACGAAAATCGCCGTTTAGCGCCAGATTGACTGTACGGCGAACACCGAAAACTCCACGTACATTGTACCGCTTACACAAGGTCCGGTCGATTAGTTGAATTAGTTTTGATAGTTTTGCATTTTACTATTGCTTTCGTCTTCCCCGCAGGCCTGTTCAACGGACAGGTCAGAGAATGGGCCGAATATTTCTTGATCACGTTGGCGGCGATCGGCTGTACGCGTGTGCAGCCTGTGACACGAATTTGACCAATCGTGACGAGTTAATAAGCACCCGGTTCACAGGCGCGACAGGCCGAGCATTTCTGTTCAACAAAGTCGTAAACCTCAATTACAGGTATTGAATCGCTACTGTGTATAACAATGTGAATGTGATAGAGCTTTATAAAGGTATTGATTTATTATTTTGATACAACTTGATTACCCAATTGGTTGCATTCGTGATTTTACCGAGACAATTTTTTTTTTATGATCTGTACAATTGTTATTGTCGGTATTCACATTAAAGTTGCTGCAGTTAAAAACTTATCCATAAACACCGATACAATTACAAAGTGTTTGAATGTGTCTTGTATAATTGGAGTATGCTTAGGTCTAAGGCGATAAAAACGTATCGTATAATATGTTTGATTACTTAAATAATTTAAACGATTCTTGTTTTGTTATTTATTTAAATTAGTTTTAAGACAAGTCAATAATTACACATTTTTCTAAATTATTATATACTTTTATAGCTACAATAAAGAAAACTTTTTTTCGACATCTATCTTGAGAAAAATGTATCTTAGAATAAAATAATACATGTGTTGCATAAAAGTTAAGCATCCACAGCACACTCTAGAAATTGATAACGTGTGTGGCCGTTGACAATCCTACTTGGTCGTCTGGCCTCGGTCAAAAATTGATTTGGCTATTGTAACTTACTACACATTGGGTACTTGAATAGCTTCCATTAAATCAAATAAAGCGATAACATATTGACATTTTCTATCCCAAAAATCTATTATTTAAATAAAAATGTAGTTATAATAAGTAATTCTTAGTCTTATTACTAGGACAGTGAATTTGTAATAAAGTGCATATTTTTTTTGCTGACTCTAAAACATAGCTCTCTTAATCCAAAGTTTAAATTATGTAACAACAAATTCAATTGTGAAACTTGTATTGTGTATTTTTTCAAATTTGTAGGTTATTTTTTGATGTTTTAGTTTATTTTAGTCAATTTTTACTTGAATTACTTTTTTGTTTTATTTACACTGGTGGTATATACCTTGCTTATATTTTATATTCTTGTTTTAAACTATTTCACACAACCTGTATATGACTAAGTTTGCAAGCGCAACATTTGATTTGGCACTATTCAATAAGTCTAACCGCGGTTTTTAATTGAGACATCAATAATGAATTTCCAGAGTCGGGTCTATTGCATTTATACTGCATTTTTAAGGATTATAAATTTATTTTTTAAAGTCCTATAGTGCATTCAATTCACAGTCCTAGTTATTACTGTTGTTGTAATTGAAAAAGAAAATACTAATATAATGTTTTGATTTTCTTTTATTTATAGTGATGTACAAGATCGAGTCATGTTAACTGGGCGTCATATAGTTCGAGATGTGTCCTGTAAAAATTGTGATACCAAGTTAGGATGGATATATGAATTCGCTATGGAAGAAAATCAACGTTATAAAGAAGGTAGAGTCATATTAGAAAGAGCATTGGTTACTGAAGGGGATGGTCTTGAACATGAAATCTAAGCTGTACCTAATCATCTGCAACATTATTAACCCTAATAATCTATACATATATATTTTTTCTCATAATTTAAGTATAATATTATTTTAATGTGTAATATTATATGTAACTTTTAAATTTACCAACTGAACTATAAATATAAATTTTGTATATATTGTACAAACTATTTGTAAATTAAATATTAATTCTAAAGACATTAAAAATTAAAATAAATTGAAAATAACACTTTTTTTTTGTATTAATGCATTTTCATTCCTCATTTTTATGTTTTAGTGTTTTACTATTAAAATCAAGACTTTTATTAATAATTTACCAAATTAAAATCTTTTACAAATAATATTAAAGAAATATTAAAATCCATACATAATTGTTTACCTATATAGATTAATTGTTAATTTAAAAATGTATACAATATAATATATTGTACGCGAAAAAAAATTTAAACAGTTGCTAAAGGAAGTTTATTTTGTTTTTTAGTTTTAAATTAATACAATATTTGTTTTATTTAATTATTTTTATATTATGCAATTCAGTTTTTCTAACTCTAATGTCATTATTTATAACTAATGTACACACATATGTATATATATATATATTATTGTTTTGTTTTGTTTTTTTTTATATATATATATATTGTTATTATACAAAAATATTGTTTACATTTAGTGTACGGAATTTTAAAAAACAGTCTAATGTCTTGAATTTAACTATTAGTTATAGTATAGGAATAAGTACATATGTTTATATATTTATAAATAAATAATTGACACAATGAAAATTTTTTTTTAATAAAATATTATTAATGTGAAGTAATTTAATTGGTAGTTGTTTTGTCAAGAAAACAATTTATTGGTTCTGTTCTATCAAAAGACATAATTGTCTACAATGTTATAATATAATTTTAAGTTTCATCAGAAACTAAATCGTAATATAAATAGTAATGCCAAAAAAAAAGAGCCGATATTGCTAATGGGTGTATCACTGTTTTGAGTGGATACTTGGAATACATAGTTATTTAATTTATATATGTACACCATGATAGACCATTGCTAACAAAAAAAAGATTCTGAGCAAATGTTGGTTATACATGTTATGAAGTACAGTATTTTTTTTATGGTTTTGTTCAAAATTTAATCTTAAAATTCTTATAAAAAAAAAAAAAACTAAGCTACTCTGTTATGCTAAACTTTATGACAATTGTATCTATTTTACGACCAAATAAAAACTCAAGTATATATAATAAGTCGCTTAAAAATCTTGTTTTGAAAAATAGTTTATGTCTAGAAAAGGCTAATATAAGTTATTTTAAAATATTAGGTATCTGTTATTATTGTTCACGTAATATCAACAAAATCACAAAACTATTATGAAATGCTCCAACTACTCAACATTTTACTTCAGAAAACATATATCTAATTAACTCTTGATATCTGGAGTAAGATTTATGGTAGAAAAATTAATTTGTAAAAATCGTACATAATGAAACTACTATTGCAGTAAATTTGTAAGTTTTTCATATAAGTTTTCGGTTTACATGTTTTAAAGTGTATAATATTTACAATATTAATCAAAAATCAGATTTTAAAACATGATATTATATCATATATATTAAAAAAAAAAAAAAATAATACTATGTTACACTCAATTTCTCTTTCTTTTTTTTTACCACTAAGTACGACTTATAATAAACTTCCAGTAAAATGTTCAAGTATTATTGTTTTGTGTAACGATTTTGACCATAGAGTATATATTTCAAGTCTCTACGAATATTTTTGTCTAAATTTCATTAAAAAAAAAAAATTATTTTCGTACTTTTACCGTTTTGGTCAATTGTTTAAAAACTTCAAAGAAAAAACGAGTATTTTTGACCCTTTACTAGATGAAAAATTCAACAAAAAAGATCTCTTGCTGTTTTTTAACGGAGCAATTTTTTTGGTAGAAATAAGTTGTAAACATTTAAAATAATGAAATCGTTCCGCTTAATTTAAAAAAATCGTAGGTACCTTTCGTACCTTGGTTTTACTACTTTGAATATCAAAAAACGTTTTTTTTTTTTTTTGACGGTGGTTTTATATTAATAGGAACCAAATCGATTGATTTTTATTTTTCGACTGAAGCAACATTTATGGTATGAAACATAGTTTGCAAAAATTAAAAACAATGAAATCGGTATAACGTCGCACGCAATGCACTGTAAACATTTGCCGTTTAATCTACAATTTTCCTTTAGGCTTTTCCCAATTATTTTGAAAACCCCTTGGAAAAATCAAACAACGATCTGTCTCACGCATTAACTGGATAAAATTCTTTCAGAAAAAGTACTACTACGCTCTATACATCCGAGCAAGATTTCTCTTTGAAAAGTTGTTTACGGGTAGAAAAAAAAAGCACACTTCATGGTAAAACCAATAGATCCATCCCTCGCTACTCTCCGGATATAAAAATCCGAAAAAGTAGATCTAAAATAAAACCGATTCCCTTGATTCCTCAGATATGAATAATAATTTTCCTTCACATGACGTGGCGACAATGAAATACAATTCGCGCATGGGCATGGAGCGCTGAAAGTTAATTTTCGGAGTTCTTTCATTGATAAGTTTAATATTCATCAATGGTTCTTTAACCGTGGTTTGTCTTTGTTGCGCAACCTGTTTATCTTTAACCATGAGTTTAACCACACCACAGTTATCAATGGGCTAAAGTCGTTTTATCTTTTATCTGGTTTTATCATTATCTAATCGACTTCACAGTTCCGAATTAAAATTTAAAACTGAATGTAACAATTTATTTACAAAATATAGTTTTGAAAAGTGAAGTTCTTAGTTTCTTGTTTTATTCACAAATGCACTTTTCGATGTTTTTATTAATAAATAATTTTAGAAATTGAATTGACTCACTTTTAAAAGTAATTTATGATACCTACCTTTGACAATGATTATATTGTTAAATTTACGTATTAATAATTTGTAATTAATTAAGAATCCTATTTGTGTTGTAAACTGTAATTGTGTAAATAGTTACAATTGATTCCACCAAAATGGGTCTGTTGACCGATCCGTCAGTTGGACATGGGGCTTTAACTAGCATATTTGTTCGACATCATAATCGTTTTTGTATATTAATGTACATTGCGTCTGTAATATTATTTTGTATGTTGGCCCATGATAGTTTTAGCTCTCGTAAGTAAAACATTTTACAATTATTGTACAACTTTTTACAATGTTAAAAAAAAAACACTTGTCATTTTCAGAAACTTACTTTTCTGAAAACGCTCTTCTTCCTGGGTTAGTTAAAGGCCAGTTGAATGATAACAGCGGACCATCTTTTAAAGACCATTACAAAGAACTTAAAGCAGAAGCACAACATTATGAAACTGAAACACCTCATCCTTACTTGATCTCAAAGTTTAAACATTTACGACTGGAAACTTATTCTCATAATTTCACGTTAAATTATCCCTTGAAAAAGAACACCGTAAGCCAAAAAATAATCCAGTTAATAATTTATTTTTAAACAGTGACGTTGTTAGAATTCAAGTGTTGTTAAAAAAAATATATTAGCAGAAAATGTATTTTTATTTGATGTATATTTCAAAGGTATACACTGGACGTAACGTGTATGGTATTCTTAGAGCCCCAAGAAGTGCCAGTATAGAATCTATAGTTTTAAGTGTACCATATAGATCACCATCGAGTATTTTTCCTAGTACTCTGCCTGGACTTGCTGTCATGTTTCAGATTGCTCAGTTCTTTCGCCGTTCGTAATTTTCTAATAATTACCATAGAATTATTTTTTAAAAAACAAATTGTCATAAACTAAATTTAACATTATATTATTCTATTTTTTTAAACTGTACTATTATTCTCAACAGAACAAATGTACTGGGCAAAAGATATTATATTTTTAGTAACCGAACACGAACAACTCGGGATGCAAGCTTGGTTAGAAGCTTACCACGGTACATGCTGTGGTTCACCAGGTAACTATCATCCGGGCTGTATTATACAAAGGCCATATTAATATGATTTTCAAATTCACATAGGTGTGTTAAACTCGGGAAAGTTGAGTGGCCGTGCAGGTGCTATTCAAGCTGCTATTAATTTGGAAATTCATTCTGAAAAAATTGATCATATTGACATTAAATTATCAGGTTTAAATGGACAATTGCCTAATTTAGATTTGGTAAATTTAGCTCATCGATTGTGCAACAAAGAATCTGTTAGACATACATTTAACAATGTCGATGGTGGGGTATGCATTTGTTGTTTTGTAGTTTTTGCATCATAAACTATTGGATATTTTCAAGTTTTTTATTCATAGAATGGAAATTTTTTTACATATTTAATAGGCGATTGGTCGTAATAAAGTCAACACTTACTATACTAATTTGAGTACAATGATGTCGATGGTAATGACACAAGCTACTGGAGTTCCTGATGGTAACCATGGTCTTTTTCACAGGTAATACATTTTTTATTGTATATAATGTATTATTATTTTATGACTTTTCTATAGATTTGGTATTGAAGCAATCACATTGGAAGGATATGAAAAAAAAGGACGTGGTATTTATGTCAGTGTACTTCAAGTTGGAAGGTATGAGTAATTTGTTGACAAGTGAAATTTGAATTGTGTTAAAGGTTGTGATTTGTTTATAGGGTTATTGAAGGGATGTTTCGTAGTTTAAATAATTTGCTCGAAAGATTTCATCAGTCGTTTTTTTTTTATCTTCTACCTTCTACAGACAGATATGTTTCTATTGGTAATAAATTAAACAATATTTAATAAAAATTTTACAAATTAATATTTAACTGACTTTAAATTTAAAACTATATTATGATTTTATTAACATTTATAGAGTATTGTATTGTATACTTTAAATGAACAAAATATTTTGTTAGGTTTATACATGCCATGTTTGGTATTGCTGGTCAGTGCTTTATTTTTGAAAGCTTTTTCTGCGTGGATTCAAAATTCTTCACATCAGAAATTGAGTGACTCTTCTTCGACACAATCTACTGTATTATATATAATATTAAAAGTATTTATTTAAGTAATAATTGTTAAAAATGTTTTATAGATTTCTGAGCACATGCATGTTGGAGTTGTAAGTGGAATTGTTTTGGGTTCTCATGTCATAGGCTTAATTTTGCTACCCAATTTTGCACCAGCATATTTTACAAATTTTTGGAATCATATACCAACACATCGTGCCTTATTGCTAGGTTACACTTGTGTATCAGTAGCTATTGTTTGCCTTTTACCGATATTATTGAAAAAGTAAGTAAACAATCATATTATATTGGTTTACAATAATTAATGAATATAATAATACAATTGTACAATATTTTATTTCTAGATGTCTAAATTCAATGAAAGTTTCAAATTGGGTTTTGTTACATGTAATTTGTTTACTAGAACTTGGAATTGGTCTTCTATGCGTTGCCATGCATAATTTTTCCCTTGGATACTTAACAGCTCTTGTGTATGTTTTACCAGCAGTTTGTACTAAATCTAGTCAAAATAGGTGTGTAAATAAAAAATTTAACTCTAATACAAAAATATTTTTACTAACAATAATTAATTTCTATTACAGAATTATAGTTAAATTTCTATGGATACTTGTGCATCCAATATGCTCGCTTTTTTGGATCACTGCATACATCACTTACATTACATTTCCTGAATTATCAATTATAGATTATTTAACAAAAGTAGTAGAATCTTCCGGGCAATGGATGGCATTATCAACTGTTGATAATATGGTTTACGGTAATTGGGCGTTTTCAATTGGTGTATTGCTATTGTTACCGGTTTGGACAGCATTTTGGTGTCTCATGTTCCTTCCAACAAATTTACCACAAAAATCCAAAATGGAATGAATAAAAAAATACAGTTTGTTAATTTAATTATTTTTTTTTAATTAATAATTTATTTACAAAATAATTTTTAAGCAATAAAAAAGATCAATATATAAACCATTTATGTTATATTAACTAAAATCATTAATATTAATCTAGTAGGAGTGAGTGCGGATATTATTACATATGTATATTATATTATTTATTATGTGCCTTCGCGTTCAGTCATAATATGAAAATCAATGATCAACATGATTTACATAGTTATAAGGTAACAAAATTCATTTAGAAAATAAAATTTGTTCATGAATTTATAGTTATAGTAGAAAAAATAATATAATACTGAAACAGGACACTTTAAGCAATTATTACAAAAACTTAAATTTGGGTAGGTAGGAACTATTTATTAGAAGAATATAATTATTTAAATTATAAATATTGAACTATTATTTAGTATTATTCGGGATAAACTAAGGGATTAGTATACCAGACTTAAAAATCACAGGACATAATTGGTTGATCCCAATATTGTGTTAAATATTACATAATATGTATAATTATAATAAAAATAATAAAAAAAAAAAATAATACAAAATAAAATAAAAAGGGGAGGGTGGGGAAAAAAGAGAGTATTGAGACGCTAGCGATTTAAGTATCAAAACTCTTTATCATTAAGGAAAGATCCTTAAATAGCTAGCGAACCAATTTTCTTAAGTTAGTATATCACAAACAATATCTTGGATCTTACTCAGAGACCTTATAATGCATGTACAGAAAAAAAAAAGTAATAATAATTATTGTTACAAGGTACTTAGCAACTCGAATGTTATATAATATTATTGTACCTAATAAAATTGTAACACAATATAAAATTATATATACATTATATGTATATGTGTGTGTGTGTGTGTGTGTGTGTATGTTTATGGTTTTTATTATATACTTGGTATAAATGAATATATGATATTATTACTTTAATTCATAAATAAGTAGTTAATAATTTTATAGTTCAGCGGTTCTTAACCTGGGATGGCTATAATATTTTTTTATACAAAGTAAAAAACAATTTCTAGCAAGATTTTTTTTTAAATCTAACTGAATTTTATTTTTAATATACCCATTGCCATCATGGAAGAGTCTGATAAAATTGATTTTTCAGTTTTAGAATTATTACTTGCATTTAGATATTATTAAAACCTAAATATTAAAAATAACTCTTTTTATTTACTTATAAATGCAATGGGTCTATGTGCCAAAAAAGATTAAGAAACGCTGATATAGATACAATACATAGTGTCTACAAATTAAAAATGATCTAAATTTAAAAAAAAAAAAACATGGTAAAACAATAATTAATTAATAGGGGTTATGCATGTCATTCGTTTTCTTCAAATGCCAAACACATAGTAAAATACAAAGGGTTCTTATTGAGCAATTGAATATTCAATGGAATCTGTAGTATGATTAAAATGGTTACTTGATAATATTATTGTTTTAAGCATTTAAAATAATACTTTGTACAACAATTGAAACTTCTAAGGGAATATTGAAGATGTTTGATGGCCACTTAAATCTGGTGAGAACAATAAACTTAATCTTTTGATTTTTTAACTCTGGGAGGTTTTCTTCAATTCTCTGCCAAGTTTTAGGATCAAATCTTTAACAATCAGTTTTCAATAACACGACCTGAAACATGTATAATAATTACTTTGGTTTTTTATTTTTTATTAAATTTATATACTTTTAAATAAATGGCAATTGGTTAGACAATATTTTGTTGAAAGAAAGTTATAATTGAATTTAGCAATAAACAAAACAAGAATCAAATAGAATAAGTTAGATGTAATGCGTGCAATTAGGCTTAATTTTATTAACTTTGCTAAATATGCTATATTTTAAATATATATTATAAAAGAAACTACTATCACACTTTTTTATCCCGAATTTGAAATTAATTATGAAACTTTTAATAACATAAATAAATACATATTGATAATTGAACATAATACATTTTTATAAAATTGAATTATTATATTATCATACTTTTCTTTTGTAGTTAATCCAAAAATGATATTGTCAATTTCTTTAAAGAAATTACAAATTTATTAGATGGTCCTTGGGGTAAATATTTCATCTCTACTTCTCTTCTGAACCTTCAACCTTAATGAAAACTGGTATCTATTTATAAAAAATGTTATTTTATTCAAGTATATACAATGCATTTCAATAAGCTACCAATTCTATGTAAATAGAATGAGTATCAGTGACATGGAAAATGGGTATTAGTTGTACAGTATGCTTTTGCGTATTGTACAATATAAATCACATTAAGAAACATTTCTAAAAGAAGCGACATCAAAAGTGAGTCAAAAGGTTATTTTAGAGGGTGATGGGTTTATTAGATTAAAATACATCCAACTTAATGTTTTCAAGTTCACCACATCTCTATGTATAATACTTGTAAAAAATTATGCCTTACCTCCTGTTGATCCACATGTATTACATTTGGCACATTGTGAATAAATGAAGTAATACATTTTGTTAAATCCAGTTCTGATGCTTGCAAATTGTTACTGTGTAGAATTGTATGAGAGAGTTATAATCAGAGTATGTTAAATTTTAAATTTGTGGCATAAAATTATTAGAAGCACTGTTAGTGGGGATTCGGATTCCTCAAGGAGTTGAAATTTCTTTAAATAGTTTAACAGTTGTTGGGGCTTTAGATTTGTTGTTATTATTACTACTGTAATTATTCCATGATTGCATTGATATTGATGGTTTGATTTTGGTAACTGTAGCTTTGTTTTTTTCAATGAGTTTGGCAATTTGATGTCCTCGAAAAGACGTACAAATTGAGGTTTAGTTGTATGACTTATTGCGGATATTAATGACGCCTTCCTAGCTGGAACAAACCATTATTGTGTACAGTCATATATATTACAAAATTTTTAAACAAATTTAATTTGTACCTGAAAGGTCAGCTGCCGAAGTTTGTACATTTTTCACTCTCTGTTGCTGTTTTGCCTTATCTCTTCTTTCTCGTTCTTGCATATCTCTATCCCTCTGTAACCTTTCTTCTTCTATTTTCATTCTATCTACTAAATTTGGTGACATGACTAATGGTGACTGTAAATGATGAAGTCCATACAGAGCTGAAGGATGAGGGCCACTATGAGGATGATATGGAGAGGGAGGAAATAAAGGTACTCCACATCTTTCAAGATACATTTGTTCTTCGAGTCTAATACAAAATAATATAAAAAGATAATTTTAATAAGTATTTATAGTAGGGACATTTTATAATAAACAATAAAAATTACCTAAAAGCATGTTGAAAATGAGGAGAATAAAGATTAGCGGGATGGTATGGTGAATATGTGGCAGGATCAACCGCAAAATGAGAAGGAGCAGTTGATACTGAGGTAGGCACTAAAGTTCTTTGTTCATCAGGCTTATATGGTTGAAATCCACTGCGAGGCTCAGTATTTAAACCAGTTGATTTAAATTCCTTGTAATAAGAACAAATAAGGTTAAAAAAAATGTCTTAATTTTCTTCTGATCATGAAAAAATAAATGTATGCACTCAACTGCTAATGCGTGGCAAATTAGATAATTATATAATAACAAAGAGAAATTATTATTGGATAATTTAATTTTAGTGAAAAATAAAGTCATTTTTTTACTCAATAGTTATAACATATACAACTTACATTATCTGGTTGTGATTTATTACAAGTTGGAAGTGTGATTCGACTTTTTAATGATTCTTGATGTCTATCTTGGGATTCAATTACTTCTTTATCTGGTTTTTAAAATAAAATAAAATTATGTAATCAATTTTTTTCTTCAACTTAATATATAACATCTTACCATTAGAGTGAGTAGAAGGAGGCCCTGCTTGTTTGGCTAAATTCCTAAGTGCAGCAGCAAATGATCGACCACCGGGAGATGGTGGAGGTGGAGCTTGACCAATAAGGTTTGGCATTAAAGTACGTTTCGAACCTGAACTTGTTGGTTGAGGTTTAACTAAACCTGAAATAAAAATTCTTGTAACAATTTATTTTATTTTACAGAGCACAGCTAATCTTATAATTTAAAATAAAACACTCAATTAACATAATATACGGATTCTCATCTAACAATACCCCCCACCAAAAAAGAAAAATTAGTAAAGACCAAAAGTTATTAACCGCATAACCAATCATCTCCGATAATAATTTTCCACAAAATTCTGGCCTAATTATATTGACCAACACTAGATTATAAAAATACCAATTTAAATCTGAAGTAATTTTAATTGACAATATTATAAAGTTATTTGCAAGTAAAATATCATAGTTTCAATTTATTGAATGTATTTCATATTTTTTTGTCAAATTACACCAATACACTGAGTAGTAAATCGTTCTAACAATGTAGATTTCCAGCTTGTGCAGGATAAAGTAAAATAAGTACATGTCATGTTTATTTTTTTTTTGAAAGAATCCAACAAAAATTAATGAAGATTATCTTGTATTTTTCACATGGGATACAATTTAAAGTAAACCTAGTTGAAAATTAGAGAAATCGTTATTGCGTAATTTTTCTGAATTATTAAGAAGTCTACAAAAAAAAATCACAAATGATGTCCCTATTGTAGCAATTAAACAAAATTTTATTTTAAAAAAGATGATGATCGGAGCAAGATTTGTAGAAAAGCACAACAAAAAAATGTTTAAAATGAATACATTTCTCGTTGCGTTCAGAATGTAAAAGTTCATTATACAAATTTAGGTTTTTGTCGAAATTAAAGCTCAACATTGTCTTTGTATACGTAATTTGTAGAAACAATCAGAATCACAATTGAATATTTATTTAACCGATTTACTACGTTATTATGTAGGATATTTTTTTATTTTTATTTTTTGTCAAATATTTGCTATTACAATAAATTTAGCCACAGCGCAGGAATAAAAAAAAAAAAAAAAAAAAAAAAAAAAAAAAAAAAAAAAACATTACACAAAATCAAAGACATTCTAGAGTGGTAGGAAGCCGGTGGGTACTAAAAGAATAGAAAAGTAATCTATATAGGTGCACATGACTGCATGAGTCATAAAATAGTACTAAATTCAGACACCCTCTTTGCATTCTATATACATATATATATAGAATTATAGAAGAAGGGACGATTATCACACACTTTGAGGGTGATACGGTTGTTTACGTTCGGCTCGGCAACATCTGGGTTTTACTTACCGCCCCCTTCGCCGCTTTACGTACGAGTGTGTAAATGAGGCCGACTTCCTGACACAACACGCGTCAGAACGTCATAATATTCGTTATTACCATGATTCGTAATAATATTGTTATCGGAACGGACGAAAGGCATTACAACCATAATAATAATCGACTTTTTTAACCCGCGATTCAAACGGCATTTTCAAGCGGTTTGTGCGAAACGAAAATTGCAATTAATTTAGAGAATTTCGTACACGCAGGTGTAGGTACCCATTATTTTTCAATAATATTAAATCACTAGGTAGGTAATACAAATACTAACCAATATTGTTAAACATACAATTAGTAGCGAAATAAAATACAAACACGACAATATAAAAAATTACCTTGGTAGTAAATCATATCGTTCACGATACCATGCGATTGAGACACGGTCTCGGATTCTCTGTATCCGGCCACGGGCATACTAATATTATTATGGACATTGTGATGATTATTATGACGTTGTTGGTCCGAAGGGTCTCCGCTCGTATCGGGATTATAAAGCATTGTTTGTTTTTGTATATTATATAAAAATTCGTTTACAAATTTAACGGGTCTGAACGAGTTGGATGAAAAACATTAAGTCGTAATGCTACAAAATTATTTATAAAATAAAAACGATGATGCTACAAGCATACGCATGCACACGTGTTGTCGCGCTGCAAGTAATGCGTTAACTGACGATGCATACAGACTATCGACGCATTCAACGATGAAAATAGTATTAGGTATAGCGGTGTGGAGCGAACAAACGCACGAGAAAAAAAAAACAATACGGGTTGACATAGGGGATGAATACCCAGTGAACGCACAGAGGCACAGATGTTTCTGAAACCAAGCGAAAAAGGGGGACACAGTACAAAAGCCAATAAACGTGAATTATTTTGAAAATACCTATACGTATTGATAGGCACCGTGTCTGTAATATTTTTGTAAATATAACGAGTATTATTGTAACTTTTTTTCGATTATGAACAACTCTTTTTAAGTTTTTCTTTTTCATTGTCTAAGGATAATATTATGATCCGATAAAAGAACAATATATAAAACAAAATTAGCCATTAAATTTGAAATAAAAATGTTTAGAATACAATACCAAATTAATCATAGAAATTGAATAGTTATACAATTATTATTATTGTAAAATTGGCATTTAGCATTTATAAAGTATAGGAAAAAGGTACTTTTGAATTTCGAAATAAATCTTAAGCAAGGGACAAACTTTTGAATTACAATATTATACATCTTATGAACCAAAATGATTAATTTCTCAGTTTATACAAATTTATATTTTATCTAGGAATAAAGACTATAATATAATATATATATTTTTTGAAACCAAAAATGGCGTGGATAACACTGGAAGTCACAGTGAACAAATGGACAAAACAGGTCAGATTAGGTTAGGTTAGTATAATACTATATAATAATATTGTAGAAGCCTAAAAAACAGTTGAAATATTCAGTAACCTTATATCCCTTCAAAATATTCATTACATATTTTCTAAACCATGGGTGTCCCGCATACAAAAAAAAAGGGATATTATAAAACTGGATAAACTTGAATTCAAATAATATAATGTGATCACCTTTGAAGGTTAAAGGCTGTAACTGGACAGTGGTCAACCGATTATTATTAACCAGTTTTTGGGGATAGAAAATTGAAATTTACATAGTATAATATTTATACCAAGACCGAATAGTTATATATCTATCTAAACATGCAATTTTTATTATAGATTTATAGAATATTTAAACATTTAAAATGTATAAAACTAAAATGACAAAAAATTGTATTTAATGTAGTCAGTCTTTAATTAAATATACTAAATTTAGTATTATTGATTTTTTTTTTTTTTTTTTAAAAAACCAACTAAACTGAAATCAAGCATAAAAGTGGTATATACCTAAGGATTTTATAGAAACATCATGAATTTTAATTTATATCAAATAGTAGAAAATACAAATACCCTCGATAATTAACCATGATAAATTATTAATAATAACAAATAATTTATGTTCATAACAAACAAAGTGATGAATTAAATAACTAATAAGGAATAAATCAATATAAAGATATATACCAATGATATAAATCAAATTTATAATTAAATGTATGTATATAGAGTTCATATATATGTCTACGTATTAAATTTATTAGAATAAGTTTTCTCTTATTAATTTCTTTAAATTGCATACTGTAAATAACAGTGTTTATAAATGTAAATGCATAAAATTAACAATATTAATGATATTATAATTTACTGTATTGTGGGTAATAAAAACAAGTCAGTATTTTATTATAACATTACATTTGAAATTAAGGTTCATAGAATTTGAAAAATAATTGTAAATAAATCTCAAAATTAAGATGTAAACACTTTGTTAAATTTGTTTACACTATTTTATCAATATGATGACCTAAAAAAAGGTCATCATATTGAGATATTTTGAAAAAGTAGTATCTCAAATTTTAAGTACCATCAACTGTTTGATTACCTATTTAAAATGTTGCTTATAGAAACAAAAAACATATCATAATAAAACCAGCAAACACATTCCTTACTTCACTCAGAATCTAAAAAACATAGAACAACTAACAACCCATTTCAATTACTAAAATTAGTAAAGGATATAATGAAGACAACCAATTTTTATAAGAATATGACATGTATTCTTGTGTGACAGAGTAGAGTACAGAAAAATACCAGATTTTATCAGTTATTTATTTATTAGTTTAGTTTTTATCTAAGAATTAGATTTGTATTAGTTAATTAACAATAAGTTATTTATCAGTTGTATAAAATATATTTTTGCCATTATTATGTTTGCCAATAACAATTACAGTGGTTTGCATCATTCTAAGTCACTATATTTTGAAGGTGATATGAAACTTTTTATGCTAATAGGTTTTTTAGACTATTATTATTAACATTCGCAAAAGTATAGTACATTTCTAAATGATATTCATTAAATCTCAATCTTATGTCTGTTGATAATACAGGGTATCCTATGAAAATCTAACAAAAGCAATAACTTTTTTTATATTCAATATTTTATTTTTAACTTTTAGAAATAATTAAGTACTAAAGCTATGATTACTATATTTTATACTTTTTAAAATTTAAAATTAAAATTATTTAATTAAATTGTTTTTATAAAATCAAGGTAACCATTTTACAAATATATTTTTAAATAGAATTTTGTGGTTTAAGATAATTACTTATGATACATCATTAGTAAATACATTTTTTTATTTTTAGATTTAAAAAATATAAAATAATGTAATCATAGTTCAAAGTTTTAGTTATTATTAAATACAATTTTTTTTTTATTTGTAATATTCAACTGTACAAAAATTAATGCATTTGTCGAATCTTTATTGGACACCTTGTAAAATAATATATATGTACCTAATTTTAGTTTATTCATTAAATTAAGTTTATAAAATCTATTCATTTAGATAATTGTGTACAAATGATGTTTAGATAGCCTTATAGATATTACAATTTAAAATGAGATTAGCTAATGCATATTTAATATAACAGTAAAGTTTGTATATTATAATACGAGTGATTCTTGAAGATGCTTCAAGATACTTCCATGCTTGAAGAAACAAGTAGAAATATATATAACACAGTAATTACTAATCTATAAAGCAATATTTTATTCTACATCAGAAGTACACTCATACTTAATAGTTTTCTGTAGTTTAGAATTTAAATGTTTACATTTAAATTGTGACAACATTCTGTGATAATCGATATATTTTATTACATAAGTATAGAAAATAGATTTAGGAAATTTTATTTTTTCTCATTAGAAAACAACCTATACAAAATAATATACATGTGTTATACCAACAGATAGATTAAACCAATTTTCTTTCACTAATTATTGAAGATAATATAACTATAAACATACCTGAATCTATTTTGGAGTTGTATTGATTTGAATTTAACATAGAACGCTTTGTACTATCAACAGTTTGTTGTTGTTTTATATTTTTTCGTTGCACTTTATTTGCCTGGTTAACCTAAAGAAAATATTGAAAATGTTAATGACATCTGGATTATGGATTAGTAAATACAAAATACTCTAATAAACAATATGTAATTATAACATTATGAATACATTTCAATTTAATAATTAACAAACATGTTTAGATTTTTTAGAACAATTTTGAATCAAATTGAGTTTTGAAAAATAACTGAAATTTAAACAACTAAAAATTGAATTTATTTGTCAATTAATAAGTTATCTAACATTGCTAATTTTATATAAATTTAGATTATAGTCACCTATGGAAAGATTTATTTAGATTGTAAAGTTGAAAAATAGATTAAACTAATAAAAACCAAGTAAATTTTTTTTCAACAAAGTTTTTTTTAGACTAACTAAGTAATTTAGATTCTTTATTGTACAAAATATTAGGTACATAAAGAAATATTAGAAATAAATAGATTTATTTTTTATTTTGGAAATACTTGAAAATTTGGTTAACTTAACTTTAATAATTTCAGCATTTGTTGAAAATGTACAGAAGTATACATTTTAAACAAAATATGATTGCATCTATCAGATCTTTATTAAAGTTGGATTTCATATAAAAATATCTAAGTATCTATCATAAAATATTAAATAATTTTCATAATTTCACAGACATTCTACACATATTAAGATTAAACTTTTAAATTTTCTTTGAGTTATCATCAGTTTATTTTCAAACAAAATAATCTGTTGGTTTGTTTTCTAACGTCAAATGTTTTGTAGAAAGGTATTGTTTCAATAAAGACAGTAATATACTTTGGTTTGTAAGAATTTAAAAGCAAATAACACATTGAGGCCAAGGCTAATTGCTTAAATCTATAATCATAAATCCAATACTAATGTACTCAGGGTGATATTCCTTTACAAATTTTCTAATTACTTCTGGAGTTATGCTTTCCAATTTTAATGTAGAAATACTGAACAGTTTTCAGATTTGTTGTATAATGCTCTATTTAGCAACTTACCAACATTGATTCATGTAATGTAAAGTAAGGTAAATATTTAAATATATACACATAATTATTTAAGTTGACTAGCGTGAATTAACTAACGGCCAAAAAGAAAATATTTAGTACTGCTACAAAATAATCAGAAATTATCTACGTATGTGCCGATGATTGTGGATTATTAAAGTATTTCCCATGATAATAATGTACTTTGTAAATTGTAATTACTATACAAACATTTCAAATACAAATAAAAAAAATTATTTATTATTTTCCTACTTTCTACCTACACGTTCTACGCGTACCACAGTTTGAGAACCACTGGTATATATAAAACGGTTCTGAACTAAATATTTTATATCACAAGATGATATCAGAGACAGGGAATTATATCATTCAAAATATTATGTATTACATTAAAAAAAATTTGAAAATAAATAATTTCCCAACAATGTTTTATGTGCTATAATTTTTAAAGTTACTCAAAAAATAGGTTTAAATAATTAAAAACCGTGGTTAGTGTTATTACCTGTGTTTTATCAACTGTCATATTTTGTGGTACCCGTTGATTATACCCATCTTCTTGTTTAACCATTTTAACTGTATTAGTATTTTGAAGGCTTTGTTTGTCTAATGGCATACCAAATCGTTCATACTCAATAGCTTGAATATGAATAGTTTCGTAACATTCGACACAAACAACAGCAAACTCTCCATTTTCTAATAATAAGGCTTGATCTATTTGACGATGATAACGAAGAAAAGGATAGTCCTAAAATTAAAATTATTATTTTGTCAAACAAAAATTGTAATGCATTATATAAAAAAAATAGTTTGAGGTAAATTTTTAGAAATGCAACAAAAAAGTAAGTATCAAAAATGTAAAATAAAGCATTGATTACTAAAGATAATTTTATAAATCAAAACTGGCCAAAATTACAAACAACTTATTATAATACTCCAGTATTAGTGAAGTTTATTTCTGCATATTTTATTGTTGTAATATTATATAATAAAATTGCATGTATAATTACATTTACTGCAAGGGATCGAATAAATCGACGTCCAGTTCGCTGTGTGCAAACATAACACACATATTCTTTATGATTATAACTCCTTTCGTGCTGCGGAATAGCTATAGAACTTGATTCATAATCTCGCCACTGTGCAACATAAGCATGGTAACAAAATGTACACACTAATGCAGATCCGTCTTCGCGTAATTGCTCTGCGCCCAATGTGGTTTCATGTTTTAAAAGATATGGGAAATATGGTGCATTTCGGCCCTAAAAATATATCATACAATAAAATTAATATATTACACTAGCCGCTTATTTGTATAGAATTTTATAGCAACAGGATATATGAAAAGAAAATTACTTGTGGACGGCTGTATAAAACTCTTGCATAAGTAAGATCTGAATGGTAATTGCACAAGAAACAATATATTGACGAAATATCATTTCGACTAGATATTTGTTGCGTATTATAACCGTTCACATTTAAACTAGGAACGTTATACCTAAAACAAGTTATAAATAATATTAAAAACACGTTTGAAAAAATGAATAAAAAGTTAGATCATTCTACCTTCTGTGTTCTAAAGGGACCCTGGTGGCTTCCATCGAATCCCATTGAACAGATAGCATTTGAACACAATTAGAACAGGCTAAAATTCTACCTTGGGATTCAACACAATAATTTTCCGCTGATCTAAATATACAAAATAACATAAAAATTAATTTATTAAAATCCATCAATTATTTATTTCTTTAGTCCTAAGGAAGAAAAAGGGTTTAAGGGTACATTTTTTTCTTTTATATTTCAGTATAAATTGGATAAGTGTATGTATTTTCAAAATTTAATTTGTTTATATTGAAAACTATACAAGATTGACTTAATTCCTTCTTTCCTGGGATCAAAGTTTTAATTTATATATTCTTTAATTATTTTATTTTTAAAAATACAAATTATGTATATTAAAAATGGATAAATTTTGTATAAAAAGAATAGATGAGATATTAGAAATTTTTTTATGATTCAGTAGTTAAAATGGCTACGATAATTTGATCATGTCTATCTGTGTCACTGAATAATTCACTAAGTGATACTCCACTATCTACTTGTTGATTTTTATGAAATTCAACAGAAAAATATCCTATATGAACTACAATACAAATATGTAGTCATAAACCTTACTAAAATAATGTATGGCTAATTTTCTATGCATAAAACCAAAGGATATAAATGTTACTTTCCAGACATTCTACCGTGTAAAGTATTATTGAAATGATGTTTAAAAATACAATACCATTTTAAATGATTTAATATAAATATTTTGCGAAAATTAAACTTTTAAGTCGATATTTACTATGATTGTTACCAAAGTATTTTTAAGCATTTTTTTTTTTATTTATTATTTTTTTTTTTTTTATAAGCTCAAATTACACCACTTTTGAGTTTAAAAAGTAATTTCATTACAAACAAAATCATTATTTTTTTTTTAAATTATGTTGTCCTGGAACTAAACACTTGCTTAGTAGTAGAAAAGCATTTTAAAATAAATTATTTATACACATAGAATTCAAATTTTAATATAAATTAATTTTAATTTTACCTTGATAACTGTTTTAAACAAGGAAAATGCATAGCATGTGAATTCATGCCTTCTGCATTTGTACATAACCATTCTAGTTGTGAACGATGCTGCATTTCATAGCAAACATAACATCGAAAGTTGTTCCCACTCAAGATACGAACAGATCCACCATTACCAGATACATCAGCGCTAACCTATATCAATAAGATTGTATTATTATAATTTTTAAGTTAATAATGGAAAATATAAACTAACAGTAAGAGTACTGCGATGTGCTTCAGATGGTGTTGGCGTTTGTGATTTATTTGGTTTAGATATATCATAAGGTCGAAAACGAATATCTGGTGATTTAATTGATTGTAGTGATGGAGAAGGTGATGGAACAACTGGCAAATCCATTAACATAGTAACTTGATGTTTTTGAGGTACAGATTTAAAACAAACTGCACAAACCTAAACATTTATTTATAGTCAGTAAATTCAAATAGAATATTAAATTTCATACGTCAGATACATACTTGTACAGTGCCTTGTGTAGATATAGGAAGAGCACCAGGTGGAGTTTTAATTTTTGTTAATGATGGATAATATGGTTCACGAATATTATTTGGATAACAATATAATGTCCTTTAAATAAAAATGTGTAATAGTAATTATTAATTTGCAATAAATACTTAATAATCAATACAAATTGAAGTAATTAATTAAACTGTTCAATGTAATTTGACATAGTATTTTACTCACCGCATTGAGGATGAAGGATATTCAAGTGAACAAGTGAAACAAATAAATGTAGAAGTATCTATAGATGGAATTAATCGTTTACGCAGGATATAATTCCTTTCTCCATGTGGAATGCCTTTTGACGTGTAAACCTAATAAAAATATTGTACTAAATGTTTGTATATAAAACTAGAAAATTTAAATGTAATATTAAACTCAATGAAAATAAGAAAAAAAAACCGTAAAACAAAACCATAGAAGAAGTATCTTACCTGCCACTGATTTAAAAGATGAGCATGGCAAGCAGAACATGTTTGTACACGCCCTGTACTATCCATAGGCCTAGAACGGGGTGGCCTAGGATGAAGCATAAGGCTAGGGAAAAATGGTTGATCGGTTTGATTAATAGCAGCTGGTGGCTTCGCTGACACATGAGACAAAGAACCCCGTCTGAATTCTTCGCCACATACATAGCATACTTCAGTTGAAGAATTTTTATCAGGCATTGACAAATCTAAAATATCTGTACCACTACTACTACTGTAACTTCCTAAAACCAAAAAGGAAACAAGCTTTAAATTAAAATTAAAATATAAAAACCATATAATAAATATTATTTAAACTAAATTACCTGGATTAGAATGAGGTGTACTCGTATTAATTGGATTTGAACCATTTTGTTGTGCTATGTGATCGGATGATGTTGAAATTGATGTAAGGGGAATTCTGGCACCTCGACTATCTTCTCCGGTAATTTGAGACATTGCAGAAGACATAATTGTATCTTTATGACTATATTAATAAAACAAATATTTTTGATAATTTTTATCACAACTATTATTATTGTTTAATATAATATGTATAAAAACCTATTGGTATAGTCGACACTGAGCCCCAATAGTTGACATGCATATTCTCCTTGTGTAGAAATATCAGCCCCAGTAAATGGGCCATTATCACAGCGTTTTAACCAGTAGATCCGTTGTCTGGTTGGCACATTTTCTCTTTCATATCGATCCCATTGACCAATTAGTATCGAGTAACATAAATAACAACTTGTTACCTAAAAAAAAATTCAATTTTAAAATACATAAATCATACTACCAAAGTAATATTATTAATATTTAAAAGCATAATTTTTTTATTTATAATCTAGAACTTATACAATCTATACATAACAAAAGTACAATAAACATAATGGATGTAAAAGCATAATTTAATTTGAAGTTAATTGACTATGTTTATTTAAGTGGAAATGATACAATATAATCAATATATACTTTTATAAATAACATTAAGTTTTCACTATATTTTTTTTTCAAATAACATAATTTGTTTTAATCTAACAAAAATATATATATACCTATATATTATAAATAACAGTGTCTTATTTTCAATAACTAGTATTATGCATAATAACACTTTTTACACAATAATATTATACTAATATGGATTTAAATGATATTGAAAAAAATAATAATAATTATAATTATAATTAGGTATAAGAAGTACCTATTATTTATTCAAAAATTAGACCAATATAAATAATTTCTATTCTATCAATATTTTTAAATTATTTATAAAAAATAGGTTGAATGTATAAACAAAATGGCCCAATTTTTTTAAATATATTATTATTTTTGGTAGCCTTCAATTTTCTATTTTAATCAAAGTGAATATGTGTAAAATAAACTCTATAAATATGTGATCTCTATATTTTATTTGAAATATAACATCTTTAATGTTTAATACTGATAATTCTTATAAGCCACCTATGGTACAATTTTAGAGCATATATACACTCTAAAAAATAACAATAGAATAAATTAGTCTATATAAAAAATCTAAAATAGAAAACTAAATTATAATGCAGGTACCCATAGCAAAACATTGTTAATGAACTTTCTAGTTTCTACCTATTTTTAACTAATATGTATCTTATTGAGATAATGTTTTTTGGATATCATACTTTGCTTTGTCCAAGTTATTTTATTCTGAAAGTTGTAAAGCATAGATTTCCTGGACAAGTAAATTTATTTGATTTAAACGAGTGGCTTACAGACATGAGATCATTATATTCATGTTCATGTTATAACTACTTAAATAAACTAAAATCTAAAATATGATAATCCAGTTGATTATTTAAATTGAATAAAGAATAGGTTTAATCTTATTTAACTATTTATTATTTAATATTAATTTCAAAACTATCAGAATTTCACACTTAATAATATATATTGAATTAACATTTTTAATAATAGCTTGGCATATTTTTCATTATAAACTAATATTTAGAGCTGTAAGCAAATTATATCAGTATCTCTAATTTTTATTTTTTGCTATTAAAATTGAGCAAGTAACTATGTTATAAATGTACACATACCGCACTATCCTGCTTGGCGTTTAGTGGTTGTCTATAACCTTGTGGCGTTTCGTGCATCTCCAAAAATGGAAAATGTGGTGTGCCATCTGATGGACCAGTAGACGGTGGTCTTACACGTAACCAATACTGTTCAGGGTGTCCAGAATTTCCACAAACAAAGCATACATTATGTATTACACTAGTCTCTTGTTTTAGGTACATGCCATCATCGGTACGAGTTTCTTGTGCCATCACACTACTACAACATGTAATGCGATTATTAATATACAGTAACATTAGTACAAATTTTGATCAATTTCATATAGACTGGTAAGCCTAGAAATTACCCTATGTACCTATTTAAATAGGAAAATTCGGATTGAAATCAAAATATGAAAATATTATAGTTATTGGCAGATGTTACCAGCTGATGTGTGGCACTTACATTTTCTCACTGGTACACACACACAGCTGTGGCCATACATATAAGGAAAAATAGGGCGTACACTTTTAGACACAGTATACACGGTAAAATAATTATCAAGTGGTGTCATTCTATAATGATATCATCTAGAAACTATAATACATTATTGAATAAAAGTGTTTAATACAAAGACGACGAGTACTTACGTGTGAAAGTGTGATGCACAGAATTCAAAGGGACTTCTTTCGTAATCCGGTTATCATTCGATCGTCGACTATGGTTATTATCACGACGTCGAAGGGATATATTTTATCGTAATTTGTATTCATATCCATAGTTTAACCGGATTCGTTGATATTGTGGATCGGAAAACGATCATAATTCGATCATTATGTCGCAACCTTTGAGTAAATGACAACTCGCTTTTACCATACAAAGTGTTTTTTAAATACGAGGCTGATAGAAAAAATAAAAAATACAAACTTTTTTCCTCCATGAGCTATCACTTTTTTCATTTTTGTCTATTGGTTAGCACGGTATCTTGTTAGATACTGTCGAAAAAAAAATGAAAAACAATTATTAGGTATAATTTTTATTAAATTATTTGCATACAAACGAAAACATTAATGATATTTATTTTAATTTTTAATTTTAAATATGTTGGTATTATTATTACTATTAATTATAGACCAAAAATCACCGTTTCTTTAAACATAAATTAAAAAAAAAAAGTATTAGGTATACGGTTTATTAAATAACAGTAAAATGGGTCATTGACCGTCATTGTTATATCCTCAAATAATATTATATATGTCAACGATACAAATAGGATTTGTACCAGCGGCGTGACACAAATAAATACAACACGTGTCTAAAATATTATAAATCGAAAATACCTACTGCTACGTAAGTAGGTATAGGTAGGTACGTAATAAATAATAAATATAAGTTGCGAATAATTGTGGTACTGACGCGAAATGAGCATCATTTTAAACTGAAATAATAATAATAATAATACCGTTAATTTAAATTTCTGTTTGTGGCGCTAATACTGTGTGCTGTACCTAACCTACTATTTCTGGCTAGCAATGGTATTAAAATTGAAAGTTGATTTTAAGTGTTCAGTGGTGTTCAAATGGTTTAGTCATGAAACAAGAGAGATGATGAGGCTGATCCTTAAACATTTCATTAATAATTATTATAATTTTTTTTTTTTTTTTGTTTAGGTGTACATAAATAGGTAATGATATAATATACCTACCTATATTATCTCATATCATCTTCCCATCTCCCGTCGTTTTACCGCCACTGAAACTATACGAATTTAAAACCGAACTAGGGCTAGAATACTTATTCCGGTTAGTTTCGATTGTTTATTATAGGATAAAAAGGGAACCGTTAAAATATGTCACCATGTCCGTCCAACCGTAGGTTACAGTCACAGGCTTATAAGTCCGCCGCTTGTCTATTGATTTTGATCAAATTTTACGGGTAGTTGTCATAAATTATGTCGATCGCGATCGCCATACAATTATTGTGTTACCTAATACTTGTGTATGCAGTGAATTTACTAAAATACAATAATTTAGGCAAAACTCTGTATTGTCTCAATAACATACCTATACATAATAAAACTGAAGGATGGTCATTTTATTTTTCGCGCACCCCATAGCGTGGGCCGTGGGGTATCGCTAGTAAGGTCTGTAAAAATTCAATAAAGTTTCTCAATTGAAATTGTTTACACATGCAAATATTTCACAACCTATTATAATGTATAGTTCTCTCTTTACTCGGACTTTTGTTAGATTCAGCTCAACTGGAGGATATATTTTAAGGAATTTTCACTAGATACAATTGCGAAATAAAATTAAGTGTTCTGCTAAATTACCCCTCCCCGATTTTAAATACAATTTTAATCAGTCAATCATTTTATTATAATATCTAGTGTATAATTTAATCTTTAAATTTGTGTTAGGCACCGTTTAATTAGATAGGTACGATTAATAACATTTATCGAATATTTTTAAATTTTAGTATCATAATTGGCCGTAATTTTCGAACAAACCCATATTAAAATATAATGAGTAATTTAATTTATATTTTTATGCATTGCTAGGTAACTAAAAACCATTCGGAGTTGAAATTTCGCGATTTTTATAAAAAATGGAATTAAAAATGCTTATAAAAAAAATTCGTTTGTAGAAATTTGGAAATATTACACATAAGTTTAAGTTCGGAATATAACGTTACATATTGTTGAAATGAAATACAATTCTGAATAGAGCTCGGTTAAACATTAAAAATTATTAAATTAAAATGTGTATTAATTTGAATAGGTATAATAACAATATAATTTGAAAATGTGAATGCTACAAAAAAATAATAACGCCTGAGTGGTTTTGTGTTTTAAAAATAACAAAACGAAAAAAGAGCTGATACAGTGATATTGGGTAAGAATGTGTCATTGTTGTAACTTGTTAGTGGGAAATCAGGAAGGTCTAGAAAACACAATCATAAGTTTATTGTCAAAATTTCAAGTCTCTACGAATATTTTAAACAGAATTACAACAAAAATATAAAATTGAAAACAATAAAATTCGTACATTTGTCCGTTCTTTCTATGGTTTTTTTTTCGGTTTTGCTCAATTGTTAAAAAAACTAAAAGGAAAATTAAAAAAACCCGCTTTTTAACTCACCATTTAGATCCAAAATGCAACAAAAATTGTTTCTTGTCGTTTTTCTATTGGAGTAGTATTTCTGGTAGAAAACAGTTTGCAAAATTTAAAAACAATGAAATTGGCAACGTCGTATTTGCCGTTTTACCTATAATTTTATTTCCGGTTTTTCCTAGTTATTTTGAAAACCCATTATTAGAAAATCAAGAAATTACCTCTTTAATACATTAACAAGATAAAATTTTCTTTCAGAAAAGGTACCATACTCTATAAATCGGATCATGATTTTTGGTAGACACAAAAAAAAAACAAATTGCACATCATTGTAAAACTAATATAGATCCCTCGTTACGTTCCGAATCTAAAACTAATGCTATGGCATAATGACTCGTTGGTAAACGCCAAGAACAAATAAACGATAAGTTAGTAAACATAAGTCAGGGAGCCATTTTTTTAATTTTAATAAAAAAAAATTTAAAAAAAATGCAGAAGTCCGTAGCACGTTGTAACTCGTCGTCGTAAACCCCGGCGGTTATGTGTGGAGAATTTAACGGCGCGACGAGCGTCACTGTTTATTCGACACGCGAAACAGTACCTTTCTCTCGTGGAATGGACCGTACATTTTGGGCGAATGTGTATCCAATTTTAACCAAAACGAATTAAAAGTGAATTTTGTAAATTTATTAACAATAATTTCATCCTAGGTTATTATCTAGATTATTATCCAGAAAGACCGAAGAAAAATTGTATAAGTATAATTTATTTAAGACCCATTGCTACGTACACATGCAACACATGGGCCACAGGCCTGACGAGAGGAAGGGGATCGGGGTGAATCAACCCGGGCCCGAGATTTTCACGGGGATCTGTATGTGAACCGAAAAAGCAAACAAAATAAGTTTTTAGGGAATTTTGAAAAATCCGGGCCCCCATAAGTATCCCGTTAAACTCTAGTGTAATATAATTGTATTATTTAGATTTTTGAACAAAAAGACTGCGGCCTGTTATCTTGCACTACGACGCATACATAGTAGGCTGATGGGCGTTTCAAATAATTAATAAAATAAAAAACCAACAGTTTCATAATTTAATATGAACTAACAAATTTGTTAATTACAGGATACCCTACATTTTAGGTAATTTTTTTATCTAGTTATTTTTTATAACTCTGGAAATGAAAATTAGTACATATCATTAATTTGAAAATTATAGCCATTTGAAGTTTGTAGATTTTACGACTTTATTTAAGTAAAATATATAGGTTTGATATTTTGTTCCGTGGTATAATAATTAATTTAGCACGTGGGAAATCTGTGATATCGGGTTTGAACACAGTAAAAGCCAGTGGCGGTCAAATTATTTTTTCATGGGTAGAAAGATAAGTATAATTGTTAAAAATTAACTAATTCGAAGTTTTAATAGGCAAATAATTTGTTTGCAACTATAAAGATATTTTATAATATATATTATTATACATATTTAAGAAAATTGAGATAATGGGGAATATATCTTCCACCTCCCCTCCGTTTGACAACCTCCGATAAAAGTCAATTTAATTTTTGTCTTTTTTTTTTTGATAATTTGTTTTTTCCTGTAACCCAACGTAGTTTTGCATAACAAAGATAAAGTATTTTTCTTTTTTAAACAGTCCAAACAAGTGAATAATCCTGTAGGGTCTCTAGGTGTACCGAAAATATATTTGTCTTCAAATCGATATATAATTTCTAAAATAAATAAAATTTCCAATAAATTCAGATTACGCCTTCATTTTCAGCGTTAAAACTCCTATTTTTTAAATAGTAAAAAATAAGACAAAAAAAAAAAAATTTTTAAATTGTTTTGGTATCAGTCCCATAAAGTAGAAATGTTCCCAATTTGTAAGTACCTAATAATTCCCTGAAAATGTAAAGGTTTGACAAAACCAAAATAATTTAAAAAAAAAACAATTTTCACCAAACTTTGATTTCGTTAAATTATAATAATATACTGAATATAAGCACTAACCGTCACTGTGCGTATTTATCTTCGAATTTATTACACTATCTGTTATCTTGATTTTTAATTTTTTTTTTTTTTTCGAAAAATATTTAATAAAAGAAGAAGAAAATAAATACTAGGACACAGAAAAAAAAAATATATTAATAATTAGAATGTTGAAACTATAATTATTAATATTAAAGAAATTAACGTTAGACCATCTCGTGACGACTGTTCGACGAACACTGCAGTACGTGTCACGAAAACGTGCGTTTGACTACAGCGCGTCTCGTGGCGGTCGCCACAAACATTCACCGCCGCCGTCGACAAACGAAGCTCGGCAGTGGTGCGTGGTGGCAGTAATCGCCAGGTGACACGTTATTGTTAAGCGCACGTTTTTGTGTCGCGTGTCGCTCGTGTATTGTTAGGAAAGAAACAAACAAGTATACATTGCGATTTTTACCCAATATGTATTTAATGAGGTAAGAGTCGCTTAAAGGTATTATTGACGATCGTATTTTACCTCTCTTTTGAGTATTTAATGTTTATTATTTATATCAAATGAGAGAGGGGGATTGTAATCGCCAAAAATATTGATCAAATCCTTGGCCACAAATAATACATTTTTTTAAAATTAATGTTAATTTTTTTATTTTGAAATAGAGATGTATACGTTAGGTATTATAGGTATTAGCTATAGGTATTTAAGTATAACCGTACATATACAGAGTGCTATATTAGTGATGCATTATAAAAACGTCGCGTGCCGTGCCGCCATACAATGATGTTCCACTACTTTCACCCGATTCAAACTTAAACGTGGAATATCTTGTCAACAAATTGACGAAAATCAAAAATTTCAA